ATAGTGGGACGGGATGGGACTTATTTTTGTCCCCCCAGTCCCGGTCCCGGCCAAATCCCCCAGCCCCGTCCTCCTTCGTCCCGTCCCCATCCCCTTGCCAGCCCTAATGGTAGTCTCATTTTTGTCAAAGTCCTTAGCTACTGCTTAGCTTGTTTCTTCTCTAATGTTGCTATCTCTTTCATGACATTTTAGTGATCTTATTGTTGAACACGGTTGATGGTCTGTCCCTTTGAGTTCGCTTTGAATCTTGCTGATGTAATAGTTCGATTTTCTTCGAATGAAGTCGCTTGTGTTGATAATCTTTTCGTTTGAGTTTGGTTAGCTATTTTAGTTCAATTGGCTATTGCTTGTGTGATGTTAAGCAACAACTCTCAAGTTTAAATAACTTTGGGTATTTTACAATAATGTGTTGGCTTGCCGTGTTATTTGTTCGTCCTAAAACTCCGGTTTAGCTTGTTATAAATAAAATCTGAAAATTGTTATCTTGTTGTTTTAATTTTTTCCTTGTTATCCTAGAAATCTAAGCATTGTGTTCGCAGTTTAGCTTGAGACAATAATATTGGAACTTTTAGTACAATCCTCCTTGTGATTTATCACTAGTTTATGTGTTTCTTCATCTTACTGAATCGTTGTTCCCTCAATCTAGTAGTTGCTCATCTTGTTTTAGATTATACATATTCTAGTCTAGGAAAATTTGGCATTTTGTGATGATATTCCTTTATTTAATACGACTTTAGTTTAATTTTGGATAATATCTTAATTTAATTGGAATTTATTCTCTATGCTAAGTATGGTGTACCGATTAACTATTGTCAATTCATTGTTAAGTGTGTTTATTAAAACTTAGATAATATGTGATATTTCCTAATCCTTCATGTCTAGAATAGTTAATGATGCAGTTAGTCATAAATTGTTAAGGATATATGAATGTGGTTGGAAATTAATTTAATAATGCTTGTATCTACTTCTATGTTTGTTTGATTAGCTTGTTAAATTTTCCTTTAGAGTGACACCTCCTATGAGTACCAAAGTTAAGAGTTTTCTCATCATTATTTTAAGTCCTACATAATATATTTTGCTATAATGACTTATAGTTTGTAGCAGTAGCACATAAATTTTCTTTTGATATTTTGATGTCATTCTTTCTATGCTTCTTGTATCGATTTAATGTATCGGATCTCATATGTAATTTTATTGTTGATGCATGTGACTCCAATCCGAGTCCTTTTGGACTCCTCTCTTAGCATATCTTCGAGTTGAATCTCTTTGAGTCAAGCCTTGACTATCGTTGGGAAGTTGAAAGTTGAAATACATGTTAAAGGAAGCTGAGACAGGCCTCAGATAGTTTAAAAATAGGCTGTATACAGCAGTATACAGCTGATATACAGGTCTGAGATGCAGGATACAGGTGCTGGAGTTTGAAGTAGGCTGTATATGTTTGGTATACACCCCAATATACACAAAATGGGCCGAGATACATCTATATACAGAAGTATACATCTAATGTATATCAGATTTTTTAGAGTTAGGACAGGTGGGACAAAGCCCAATTCATTTGGATTTGGGCAAAAAGACCCAAGTCCAATTGTTCCTTCTTTCTTTATTATTATTCATGTTATTGATTAACTAACTTTTTTTTTTTATGGTTAAAATTAATTAAGTTCCCCAAGATTGCCTTTCTTATTTTTGAAATATCTATTATTTACTCATTTATATATGGGAAAATTACGCGGTTAAGCAAATTTATACTACTTAATTACTCATCATAGCTATAGTTTGCTATAATTACCACTCACGACTAACATTATATATTAATTACGCGGGCTGACTTCGAGTTTGTATAATTAGCCACGTTTGTATATGTATAATTCGCCAGAATATACAAATACATATGTATAATATACAATTATCTAACCTTTATACATATACAATTCACCTCTCTCCCACTCTCTGCCCTCTCTCGCTCACCTCTCTCCTCCCTCTCCCAATCTCGCTTGCCATATATACAAATACATATGTATAATATACAATTATCTAACCTATATACATATACAATTCACCTTTCTCCCACTCTTTGCCCCCTCTCTCTCGCCTCTCTCCTCCATATAACATGTAGCTACGAATTGTAATTATCAAACTATACCTATAGAGAATAATTAGACTATTTTTGAGTGGCTATATGTGAAAGTTCCCCTTTATATATTTAACTACATATGATTATTTTGTCCTAATAGAAATTATGCCGAATTTGTTTCCTTAAAAGTAACAACTTAAAATTTTATTTCTTTCTGAAACTTAGTTAAAATTTTAAAAGTTAGTTGAAAAAGTCATTTTAGTCAAATCGTCGGTTGACCGCAAGTTAGCGGACATTCCGAGGGCCTAACACCTTCTCGGAATGTACATTGAACTCGAACCCTTTTTTTATTTTCAATTGATTTTGTCTGTTTAAATCTTTTGAAAAAACCTTAAAGTTTTCTTAATTTCTTAAAAAAATTAAGTGGCGACTCTATTTTGGAAAATCGATTTTTTTTCAAGTCATAAGTTTAGTTGATTTTTCTAAAACAAGTCCATTTTTATTTTTCGAGTAAAACAAAAGTAGTACACGGAAAAACCATACTGTTCAATGTGTATACTTTCAAAACATTAGTTTACAATTGTCATGTACTGAACAAAGCTGAATAGACAGAGTGACATTTTTTTTGAATACTAGAGGAAGCCTAGTGGAAGGCGATTTTTTTTGTGAAAATTTGTCTATCATAGTTTACAATTGTGTAGGACAGAGTGACATTTTTTTGAATACTAGAGGAAGCCTAGTGGAATGCGATTTTTGTTGTGAAAATTTGTTTATGTTTTTTGCCTTGTTCTCTTTTTTTTTTTTTCCATCTTCCTGTCCTCCCTCCCTCTCCCTTTTGGAGCTTTAGAGCACCAGGATAATACGTTGAGAATAGAGGGAGATAGAAGACTAATTCAGCACGACCAGAAGGATAAGATCCCTGAACTTTTATCACATGATGTAGGCACCAAACATGTGTTTGGGTTCACAACATATACATATACTTGTATCAATCAGAATGCAATAGTTCTATTTATCACAACAACCTGGCCCTGGTCTTAAATCCAATAAAGGGATATGGAGAGTGATGCAAACACCCAATGATAGAAAAGAACACTTCACGTTGTGGACTAATCCTAAAAACAAGTAATTAATTTCACAGACAGAAAGACAAAGCAGGAAAGAAGCATGTCATGGACCCATGTTGAGCAGAGGAAGGCTACAGCTTCAACTAGTAGGTTTCAAAAGGCTTCTCGCGAGTAGCTGATGCAAAAGACGAAGAAGATGTTGAATTACAAGTATGGATCAAACAATTGCTCATGATGTCCAAGACATTCTTGAAAAACATGTTTGCAAAAAATTTCAAGAAAAAGGATTATGGGCCATCATTCATTGATGTCTGAAAAGTTATTTAAAGCTCAAAATGATAATCTTTTAATGATGTTGGAAGGTGTCGAGGCTTGAAGAAGTAGTTCTTGATGATGACCAACGATTCTTTGAGTTACTTAGTTGTCCTTGATGATTGATGTCCCTGATATTCGGACTCTCAAATGTTTGTTTCCTAGTGGTGTCTGCAAGGTTATCATCATATGGTATTTTTATGAAATATGTCATCACATTTGCGCGGAAACTGGTGGTGATAGTCGTGTTTTATCCTTTGTCTGAAGACGAATTTTTGATTCCTTCCAGCAGAAAAGCTTTATCTGACAGCCCGTTACATCCTCCTCTGTCTCTGATGCAAATCTCAAAAGACATCATAGAAAAATATGCAACGGTTTGCCAATGGCGATTTTGATGATTGCTGGTGCACTGGCTACCAAAGGGAATGAAATAGAGGTGTGGGAGTTGTTTCGTGGCAGACTTGTTAACAAGTAATTATATCGAACTCAAGCACATGAAAAGGTTACTCACTATAGGTTATCAAGACTTGTCTTTCTATCTCAAGTCCTGTTTCACTTATCTGAGCATAATCCCGAAAAATCACCATGTTTCAACACTGGGCAGCAGAAGGACTCGTCCTCAAAAGAGAAGGAAAGGCAATTGCACAAGTTGCTGAAAGCTATATATGATCTCAATGAACTTCCAAACAGAAAGTTGATCCAAGTTTACCCTGATGGAAAGTTAGAATAGATAACTTGTATTTTGAGTTTTCTAGTTCAAATTTCAGGACCATATTTTTATTTTTCGAACCCCTTAGAGTGATTTTGGAGATATCAAACTTTCGGTAAAAGCATGTCCACCTTGAATGGTATCACATCGAGGCCATGATCTAAATGGTCTACTGACCATCCTAAATGTGTGCCCTCTAGTTACCCATCGAGGCCATGATCTAAATGGTCTACTGACCGTCCTAAATGTGTGCCCTCTAGTTTCAATATTCAGGCACCAGAATAGCACTTCACCATCCGCAAACCTATGTCTCGGCGCGGCATAAACATACGGAGTATCTTTTACTATAGTTAACAATGGCATCCAAGATTCCTTGACACCATACTCTTTTAATACCCATACCTTAAAAGTACCATTTCCCGTAAAAAAAAGATTAGAATGAACACAAAGCATTCCTTCCAACACAGAAACGCCAACAGTGTCAGGGCCTGGCTTCAAGCTTAATATTTCCACTGACAAAGGTATCTCTCCATACACTTCATTTGAAATATTAAACGAAATCACCACAAAATAATTTCTTGAAACCTGGATCCAATGAAATGCCGCATGTATAAATGGCAAAGAATCAGTGGCATAAAACCAACAGCGATTGGCACGAGGATGTTCATCAATGCTTCTCCAAGAGCCATCTTTCAACGCGAGAATTTCTTTAGGATAATTGGGACCTTCTAGGTTCTGGTGCATATGAATGATCTTATACTTACCACTGCTTGAGTCATAACCCAAACCAAAACGAGAACGTCCATCCCCGGGACATCCCAGAGGGGGAAGTACTATTGATTCTCTTATGGAAGGGTTCCACAGCAAAAATTTGACGCGATCTTTATCACGAATCTCGATAATAGCTAAGCCATTGTAACAACAATGGATCAGACAACTCCTTGGTTTAAGGGTTGAAGGGCAATCAAGTTTAAGTTTTTGTACATCCTTAGCCTGTTGAACTGGCGATAAAGGACAACAATATAGGGAGAACGTAGAATCCTTAGGGCCCCATTGGTAGATAAGAAGCTTTTGGGAATCATGGTCATTCCTGGCACGATTGAGATGCTTCATTGTAAAATAAGGATCAGATATCAATGTTGTCCAAAATTTGGAAACACATTTGAATCGAACAAGAGACCGCACAGGTAACCTGCTGAGGATGTTGGCAAGTATTTCCTCAGGAAACTGAACCGTGACCTAGATAGAACAAGAAAGACATTTTTTATAAAGTATTCAACATTTCAACGAAAAGACAAAACGGGTATTCACTAACAAATAATAGAATTGAATATGAGAATACAGAGCAATGTACTCAAAAAGGATATAAAAATTACGGAGATAGCATGCATTATTCCTATTTACCAGAAAACACGCACCTACAGGGGATCTAGGTGGTGTCCACCCGAACCTCCTCAACAAAAAATTTATACTTTATACATAAAAGTAATTTTTTTATTGACGCATACAAATTTTGAATCCATGAACACAAGTTCAAGAGTAGAGCTTGAGTTTCCTAATTCAAATTTAAAGACTATATTTTTATTTTTTGTATCAGAATATAAAAACAATAATACCCTGATCCAGAGATTTTTTGAATCACAAAATTAGAAAAATAGTATGTTTAATCAACAAATTTACCGAATCATCAACGTCCAGCTGATGAATTGAGGGCGGGTTCTTCTTCCCTAATTTAAGTAAAAAATTGTTGTTGGTTATAAAGGACAATAGAGGAAAGAACATAGCAGCAGCTGCAGAAAAGATAAAATTAGCCTTTCCCTTCGTCTTCTGTTTCTTACAAGACGAACTCTCTGCTAATTCTCCATCATTCTTCCTTTTCTGCGCCATCGCAACACTCGATTTCGATTTTCTAGGGTATCTATGGATATATGTTAGAAGTAATTCACTGCTGGCGCTTATATTCCTATTTTTATTTCGGTCGGATCGGGTCGGGTCGGATTCTTTAACATTCCCAATTTGATTTGGTAAAAAAATATTGCAATATTAAAGTAACATCAACATATTTAATGCTACAAATATTATTGAAATATAATGCAGTTAATTGATAAATTAATATAGAATTTTAAGTTAGACAATAACAAATTCTGATGCTACAAAATATTTTCTTACACCCTCATTCATATTAAACAACACAATTATTTTTTGAAAATTTCCTGAAAATAATTATTCTCTTACTTTATAAACTTTCTTTTTCATTTGAAAAGAAAGAAAAAAAAAAAAGTAACACGTTACGTTGATTTTCAAATGGATAATTGGCGCATCAAACATAAAACTTAGGAATTCATGGACAATAATTAGCACTCCCTTCGTTTCAAAAAGAATGACTGTCTTTCCTTTTTAGTCTATTTCAAAAAGAATGACTTCTTTCATTTTTTGGTAACATTTTAATTTCAGCTTTCCACGTGGCATGTTTAAAGCCACAAGATTGAAGGGCAATCTAGTACATTTGACATAATTTTAATTTATGACCACAAGATTCAAAAGTTTTCTTTATTTTCTAAAACTTTGTGCCAAGTCAAACCAGGTCACTCTTTGTGAAACGGGGGTAATAATTATTTTTAGTTATTTCATTTTTCTTTTCTTGGCTTTTTCTATTATTATATATAGAAAAGTCTTGAATGGAATGATTAAGGGCAAACATGTCTTTTTCATCTAAATAACATCTAAAGTACATAATCTATTTGAATCATAAAGAGATAAAATTGATTCAAATAAGTCACAATTCTAGAAAGTAACTAATATAACAGCGGTCATTAATTTATTAACGTCTATATTTAAACATAAAATGAAATTGCTTTGTTCATTTTATAAAATATAATTTATTCTTACACTCACTGAGAGCGCCATATTCAGGTACTTCAAGCATGTCAATGCAAGCCATTGTATGGAACTCATGTTTCTCGGTGGATCAACAGGTTGACTAGTTAGTTAGGTTGTTCTTTACTCGAGGAGGAAAGTTATCGAACGTTGCCTGTAATATCGAACTTACCTGAAAACAAAATGCAAAATTTCTTATGCATTGAAGATGTTATGTTACCAATTTCATTGTATTATTTGCTGGTCCAGCTTGATTTCCTTTCTGTAAGGAAATGGATGATATTGATTTGTTTGACTGAAGCAAGACAGCTCCTGAAACTTGTGTTCGCGGATAAGATTAGTGTAGGAATTTTATTCAGCATTTAATGTGTTTTTAGTTTTCTTATGATTTGGTAGGAGGCCTGTTCTTTGTTATCAGAGAAAGGTGCTCTTCATTTGTATTCGAACTTTTTGTTGGTTATGGTAATATATTTACAGTTGTTACCAAAAAAAATTACATCGAGAATATTGTTGTGGCAACTAACAAAAGAGACTAATGTCAGCAAAATATACGAAGACTTATCTAATTAACTGGAGTATAATTCTTTTCCCTAGTCCAAATTTCAATTAAATAGTACCTTCAAAAAAGGGCTATTGAATAATTGGAATGTTTGAATCATTTTTTATGTCGAGTGATTTTTAAATTTTATGATCTTAAATTAAACATATGTGTACCAAAATGTCTTTAAAAATACAAATTGAAAGGGAGAAACAATACATTAGGTCACAATTATTAAGAAATTTGAGTAATATATATCAAACTACATTACGCTTTTCAAGTTGTACTATGTACCTCTTAAGGTTCTAACTCCTACTCAACAAGGACTATTAACTCATTGGTCGTATCTCTAATTTCGTTTGAGTTGAATTACATTCTTCCTCTGAGAGGTGTAAAAATTGGTTAACTATCTCGAAAAAATTCATATCGTCCATCCAAATCATCTCAATTATAGCCAACTCCCCCTCCCCTGTCTCTTTCCCTATCGAAAAACTGCTTCATAATGTATTGAATCATATTATATTATTTTAATGAATATAATATTATAATGAATTGTATCGTTTTCCTTTGATACACACAATCAAACATCAATAATCTAAATAATAAACCTAAAAAATAATAATTACAGTACGAAAGTAAAGTTACTATTAAAAGGTGGATTAAAGAATAAAATATAATACTAATAAATAAAAACAAAATTAAAAAAATGACAGGATTACACCAAATCTTTCCTAACATAATATGAATTTTTTCGTTATTTATGTAATGATAAATTTAGTAAATTGAATCCGAGGCGGATTCGGGATTTCGAAAAAATTAAAGGAACAGTAATCAAAATAACGACGAAAAAAAGGAAAGAAGGAAAAGTAATTTTCCTTTTCTATCTTGGTTTGGTTTCAACATCCAAAATATAGTACAGACAAAAACCTAATTCTCTTGCCTATAATACTACATTAAATAGCCTTATACAATTGTTGTTGAAACCTATCAACGGGCCGAAGGAAGCTTCAAATTTTCTACTTTGATCTGTAAGTTATTCGATTTTGCATTTGTTCTTTTTTATGATATAGTACTCACTATGGGTGTTTAAAGGAAGAGATGAACTTTTTTTCTTGTGGGGTGTTCTTTAATTTGCTAATTTATGAAGAATTTAAGCTAAAAATTGGTTTGTGAGAAATGGGTTTTTGTTATATCTTGGTGGGTATTGGTTGATAATTGATAGAGAATTTGAGGTCAAAATTGGTTTTTGAGAAGTGGCTATTGGTTGATTGTTAGCAAATGATAGAGAATTTGAGCTAAAAATGGTTTTTGAGAAGTGTTTTTGTTATATCTTGGTGGGAATTGGTTGATTGTTAGATAAATGATTGAGAATTTGAGCTAAAAATTGGTTTTTGTTATATATTGGTGGGTATTGGTTGATTGTTAGATAATTGGAATGTGAGCTAAAAATTGGGTTTTGAGAAGTGGGGTTTTGTTATATCTTGGTGTGCCTTGGTTGATTGTTAGCTAATTGATAGTGAATTTGAACTAAAAAGTGGTTTTTGAGAAGTGGGATTCTGTTATATCTAGGTGGATATTGGTTATCGATTGAACACTTGATTTTTTGGGGTACTTTAAAGTTTTCTCTTGGTCAAATAGAATCTTGGTTGGGGAATCTTAGTAGCTTAGTTGGTTGGCTTACCGAACTTTCACCTTGTCGCCTATCAGTGAGGGTTCGATTCCCCATCTGCTAATCCTCTACCTTAATTATTTTTTAAAATGTTAGAATCTTGGTTTTTCTATTCCTCTTTCAATTTTACAGGCTCTAAATTTGCATTGATAGGAAAAAGAATTTCAAGAATGTAATGTAAAATGATACTCCCTGCAATTCAATTTGTGATTGGTTTTGACTTTGACATGGAGTTTAAGAAAATAAAGAATTTTTTTGAATTGTGTGGTCTTAAACTAAAGATATGTAGGATGTACTAAAATCCCCTTTCATCTTGTGATTTTAAATGTGTCATGTGGAAAGCGAGAATTAAAGTGTTGCTAAAAAAAGGAAAGAGACTTTTTTTGGAACCGTCTTAAAAGGAAAGTAGGACAAAAAGTGAAACCGAGGGAGTACTATTTTAGAATCAGTAGTGGTTTCCTGAATTTGGAATGTCTTTGTTGTTTAATTAGGTAATGTATATTATTGGGAGAAAGGGAAAACCTTGTATTTAAGGTGTAAACAAAATAGAAAGCCTCTTTTTGGTTTACTTTGCCCTCAGAAGTTCTCGAAATCGAGAACGATTCTCAGTGTATTACTGTTTTTTTCCAGTGTAGCAGCTTGTACGCAAAGGTGGATGCAGAGTGCGGATACCGGGCTCATATAAATCTAGTACTTCTCACCCAAAGTATAAATTTATATGTGAATATCCACTAAAATTGCAATGAATAGTGGATATGAACCCATATCTTTAAAAATATAATGAGTATTCAATTCTAAGAACTTAAATTTTGAACCCATAAAGCTTAAATCCTGGATCTGCCCCTGCTTATCGGTGAATCTTGAAAACGCTGGAACAATAGAATTAACATTGCTGAATCCTATGTTGCTCGGACTCTTCATAAATGTCAGTGCTTGTCGGACCCTTCAAAAGAAGTGCATTTGGATCTGACATGGGTGCGGCAACATTTTTGGAGAGTCCGAGCAACTTAGGCTGAATCAGTGTCCTTGTTGCGTGACGCCTGCAGTATATTTTATCTGCATAGTTTTTGCAAATTTACAAAATGGAGTTAGAATTATGGATGTTAATTGATGGTTACCTACTTCATTCTGCAGGTTGCATAAATCTCAACTTCAAATTGGCTTATTAGTGGACATGATCTATGTTCAAGTAAGATATTTATATACAGGAAAATTAGAAACTATATTCCCTTTTTTTTTCTTTTTTTCTTAGGGAAGTAGTTAATTACATTGAAATTTCTTTCTCTGACCATAACTTGCATCTTATTGGCTACCTGTTATTTCTAATTGTTGTGTCAAGAATGATATGTTCTGAGAAGATAATAAAATAAAATGAAGCTGCAAATCAAATTTATGAAAATCTAAAGAAAAATGTAATGATAACAAACGGAATCATGTCAATTGCTACTCTAGTGGAGTTTCTTACTGGTGATGTCTGGAGACTAATTTATGCTCAAAAGTAATGAGCAAGACTGATTACTATTTCTCGGACTGTTAACCGGTTAAACAGTTTTTATCTACACTTCCATTTTTTGGGGATTCATCCATATTGCTGACATGGTAGTTTACTTCAAAAGGATGTGGCAGGCACTTGTTGTTTCTGAATTTACTGTGTCCAGTTTGATTTTCCAAAGTATACTATAAACATACTCCTCTCGAGCTATAGAAAAGACAACTGCTTCGGTCTGGTTTGAGGTTATACTTGATTAGGCCTTTTATGGAGTCTAATGCTTTGATGGATTGAAACCTGAAATCCTTTGTATGTTGTGGTAGACTGATGATTT